TAGGCTCATACACCTGCAGCTTCCCAAACTCCTTCGCCTTGTTTTCTTCTCCCTGCATTGCCCAGCCACCCTATTTTCTTTCTCAATCGCGCTGTTGGAAGAGGAAGGGTAAACCAATGGGATACTACAAGTCGTGCGAGCTTTTCAACCCACAGAAGCAATCTGGGTGAAAGCAACTGAACGTGCTGAGGTGGTCCTTTTTGCCTTACTCCCTTTAGAATTTTTTGTTAATTTTTTTTCTTTTTTCTTTTTTCTTTTTGGAACGTCTTGCTCTGCACCCCAGAGGCTGGAGTGCGCGGTGGTCATCTTCGCTCATCTGCAACTCCACCTTCTCGAGTTCAAGCAATTCTCTGTCTTAGCCTCCCCACCCACGTGTGGCCACAGATGCCTCCTGAGCCCAGGCCTTTCAGGCATTCAGGAGTATGGGGGCAGCTCATCCATTCGTTTGTTCACTCGTGTTAATAAGTATCTATCCCGTGCCTGCCCCCTGCCACGTGCTGAGGAATCGGCCTGTTCAGGACAGACCCGGCGCTGCCCCCCTGGAATTTCCAGGGTGCTGGGGGACCACGCCTCAGTGCTGGCCACTCTGCTTCCCCTTGAGCAGTTTGGGCTGAGTCTGGTGCCGTGAGGGCTGTGAAGCTGCAGCCCTGAGCCCAGCTAGCTGCCTGGCATCGGGGTGCCCGCCTGGTGGGGCTGGAGGTGGTGCAGGGATGCCACTCTCAGGGGCAGAAAAACAACAGTGGGGTCCTCAGTCAGCAGCAGACCAGACGGGCCCAGTCCCCGTGCCAGTCTCCCAGCACTGCCCGCTGAGGGCCGTCTTCTGCAGGAGCCTGACAGCTGTGAGACCAGCCTGAGAAGGAAAGGGCAGTCAGGCAGCGGCCTCCGGCAGCTTACAGGGTCTTCCTAGAGGCAGGCAAGGCTGAGCCCTCCCCAGAGGCTGCCAAGGACTTCACTGTGAGGCCCTGTGGATCACACAAACGCACAGAAGGGCTGGCAGGGCCGGTCCCCGGGCAGGCCTCTGCCCCACCCCCAGGCTCAGGACTGCTGCTGTACGGACAGTTCCAGCCGGGCAGGGTCATCTGGCCTCCCACAGGCACCCAGCAGCCACCCCGTGTACCCCTGCAGGTGCACAGCCAGGTCTGGGATGGCCAAGGCACCACTCAGTCAGAAGGCACACGCCTTGGCTTTGGCACAGGCTAATCAGAGGGCACACCGCGGCCGCTCAGGAACAGGCCAGAGGCAGGCCAGGAGCCATCCCCTAAGCGTGGTCCTCCGCAGTCGCCCTGCACACCTGGCACTTTGCCTTCTGGGCACAGAAACTATCTCCCTCCTTCCTGCCTCCCAGGCAGTGCCCCCTCCACCCACGTGTGGCCACAGATGCCTCCTGAGCCGCCACGAGCAGCCTGGCCACCAGCCCGGACCGCCCTGCTGCCCGGGGGCTGACACACATCACATGGGTCACTGGACAACCACAGGGCCGCGATGTGCGTGGCACAGAGCCTGGCACGGAGGGTCCTGAGGGGGTTTGCAGTCGGTGCCTTGGAGGCATCACAAGTTCACACAAGGGAGCCTCCGCACTGTCTGGCCTGGCCTCTGTGCAAAGTCAGTTAATAAACAGTGTCTGTTGCAAGAGTGGGGGCCCTGCCCTCCTCGCCCACGAAATTAAAAGGCCAATCTGCGTGGCTGAGGGTAGGGGGCTCTGCTCCTCCCAGGGCGTGCTCATGTGCATGGGAGTGTGTGTGTAAAGCTAGTGTGTGTGCACGTGTGAATGTGTGCGTGTGTGTGTGAGTGCGAGTGTGTGAGCTTGTGTGTGCATGTGGGTGTGTGTGTAGGTGTGAGCGTGTGTGGATGTGGATTGTGTGTGTGTGCATGTGGATGTGTGTAGGTGTGAGGGTGTGTGGATGTGGATTGTGTGTGTGTGTGTGTGGGGTGTGTATGTGTCTATATGGATGTGTGTATGTAGGTGTGAGCGTGTGCGTGTGCCCTGACTTGGAGCAGCCGGGGCGGTGACAGCTCTGGAAGGGGGGCGTAGGCTGCAGCTGCCCCACAGGCCTTCAGCCTCCCCTGCTCTACTGGCTCCAAGCAGCATTTTAAACCCGCAAGTGTCCACCAGCTTCTGCTCCCACTGTCTGCGGGACGTGGACAAACCTCAGGGCTCAGCAGGGAAAGCCTGGGCTCCGAGGGTGGCAGGCAGAGGCACCAGGTGGAGGACGCCCCTTCCCCAGCCAATCGGACACTGAGTTCCAGGCTGGGCGGCCATAGTGCCCCTCAGGCCAGTGTCCCAGCCAGGCCTCCTCCTGAGGGACCTGCCGCCTGCCCGGTCCACACTGCACTGCATCCCACGGTCCCCACAAAAGTCTGTGCATGGCAGCGATGTCGCGGGCTGAATTCACAGCCGCAGAGGCGTCCACGGCGTCCGGTAGGACCAGTGAGGAGCGGCTGCTACGAGGGCACCGGGGTGCTGAGGACAAACGGACGCCAATCTACCTGGGAGGTCCAGGGATGAGGGATTTGTACTTCTACATACATCACTGGACAACTTTCACATGTTTGTGCTAAACACGCATTACTTTTGTAGCAAGAAAAAAAGCCTGAATGACATAAAGACGGTCAGACGTCAGGTCACAACCAAAGACCAAGACGTTCCACAGTCCCTGAGCAGCGGCCACCAGGTCTATTGTCCCGGGTCCATTCCTCCAAGATGAGCCATGATCCGAATGAGCCTCCGTCCCCGCTCCGCCTGTCTCATCTAAGACCCTCAGACTCCAAATATTCGGCTGAAACGTGAGCACTTCAGAGCAAGAGGACCCGGACACCAGAGAGGGCGAGAGCCTGCCCTTGGATCCCAGCTCGGCCACACGCCTGCTGAGAGATCCTCCTCTCCTCTGAGCCACAGGTACACCCGTCTGTAAAACGTAGTCGTTAAATAACTACCCTGTCCACCTTCCGAGCCTGTTGTGAGACCAGGAACTTCGAAAATAAAACCACAAACATCAAAGCATCATGAAAACTGCGGAGAGCGGCCCACAACCAGGTGCCACCATCATTGCCAAGTAGGGAGGCCGCCTGGGACACACGCACCTTAGTGCAGCCACCAGAACGCCCGGGGGCACTGGGCACAAAGTCACCTTACTCATCAGGGCCAGGAAGCCAGGAGTCCTCCCTTACTGAGACACAAGACAAGCGCCAGGAAGAGAGGGTGAGGGCCCGCCTGGGAAGGACGCAGGTTTCATACTTTGCAAAAAACCTCAATTGACGTCCCATTTCTGTGCAGATGCAGAGTGCCGCTCACGGCACCCTTGCCCCCAGATCAGACCTTGTATGTGAAGGTGCCTCCCGTGGGCCCTCCGGCCGCTCCCCTGCACAGAGCGAACATCACCGGCTGGAGGTCCCCGCTGCTCACTCAGGAGAACGTGTGCAGCTGAGGGCACGAGGAAGGACGCGTCCCCAGAATGAGCCACGTGGATGGAGGGTACGGGGACTGGCCTTGTGCCTGCGATCTGCCGGACGTTACAGGCCATCCTGGGAGACACACAGAGGGGACTTACCTCTTCCTCGGGCCCACGTGTAGATGCGGCCGGTCTCGGAGCCTCTGGGCTCTCGCTCTGCGGGTTCCACCGGCAAAGGTCGGACGTGGGGGTCATCAGCTCGGCCAGGGGTCTTCAGGGGCAAGATATACTTGGGGAGCCCTTTGTAGAACCAGGCCCCCGACCTCTTCCAGACCTGCGTGGGGGAGAGAGCTGCTTGGGGCACAGGTCGCAGAGGAGTCTCCCCTCCTGCTCCTCGCCCAGATGACGGGAGGCAGGACGCGGAAAGCTAGGCGCAGAGTGGGAGCGGGAACGCTGGCTCTGCCCTCCCCGGCTGATGGGCTGGGCTGTCACTCACCTTCCCAGGACTCAGGACAACCAGGAGCTAAGTCCCATGAACCCTCCAAACCTTCTTTCTCTACCTCTTTCTCTCCCTTATTTTAGAGTTAGGGACTTGCTCTGTTGCGCAGGCTGGAGTGCAGTGATGCAGCCTCCACCTCCTCGGCTCACGCGGTCCTCCTGCCTCAGCCTCCTCAGCAGCTGGGACCACTGCACCTGGGTCTACGCTTGCTTTGAAGACAAGTCCACGTCCTCCTGTTTCTCTCTTGCAGAGCAGGGACCTCCGTACGGGCCCGGCATATGAGAAATGTTTATGAAAACTGACCACTGTTACCGTCTGTATCCTCCACAACATGGGATCCCAGAGATTGCCTAGTCAGGCCCCTGCCCATCCCCAGGCCTGTCTGGCTCCTGCTGGAAAACTCCTAGTGACAGGAAGCCCACAAGCCATCAGGCACTGCTGAGTTTCCACTAGATCTGTCAGTGACTGGCACTTCCTTCCCGCCAGCTGACCTCCCGGGCACCTTCTCTTGCTGGCCCGAGGCACAGGGCTGCACGGGACGGACCCTCCCAGCCGCGAGGTCCTGCAGACACCTCCCCAGCCCCCAGCTCTCCTCGTGCCACGCCCAGACCCCCAGCTTCTCAAGGACAACACGCACGGTTCCTCAGCTGTCCCAAGTCCCCTCTCGTCGAGTCACCCCCTCTCGCCGTGTTTGTCACCGTCCCTTGGGAGAGGGGCTCAGAAGTGGCCACAAAGCTCTAGGCTTGTTCGGGCTGCCCCCAGGGCACAGCCACTGACTTTCCACCCTCTTTCCTGCCTCAGTTCCGTCCTCCTTGGGTCCTGAGCCTCCCAGGAGCCCCTCTTGACCCCATGTGGCCCCCAGGAACTCTGAGAGCCAGATGGGTCAGAGGGTGCCCACCAGGGCCCAAGCAGGTGCAGAGCATCCCTTTATCACCGCCCTGGGGAAGTGGTGAGGAGTCACCCTAAACCTGGCCAGACATCCCCAAAGGCGGGCAGAGCCCCAGGAATCCAGGGATGCCCACCCTGAACTCAAAGGGTGGGAGGTGCTCTGGTCTGGGACGCATAACCCCTTGGGCTCTGAGGGGTCCCTCTGTTCCTCCACCACCCCCGGCTCGGACACCCAGGCTCCCCACTCCTGCTGTCCCTGGAAGCAAGGCTGGATCAATGGCAGCTTCCACATTCGCTGTGTGGCTTTGAGAGAGTTACTTAACCTCTCTGAGCCTAAGTTTCCTTATTGATTAAATTGATTGAATGTGATAGCTTCTGAGAAAGTTGGAAGTGCTCAGCAGAGCACACGGCACCCAGAAGGTGTTCACAAGATGCCACCTGCCTGCCTCCTTCCTGTCCCTTCTGCTCAGGGCTCCAGGGGGGACCAACAGAGGCTGGAGGGAGAGCCGGGCTGGGCCACAGCACAGCCCTTGGAAGCTCTTCTCTGAGGCTTCTCAGATGGGACAGCCTCCCATAGGAGCAGAAAGGTCTGCGTCTCAGAGGGAGCCACCGATTGGAATTCAGAGCAGCCACTGAGTTAAGGTCCCTAAATTTTTAATGCCTCCTTCAGAAAGCACCACATGCTGTGTAATCTCTTTTCTGATGAAGGAAATAAATTCAGGGTATTTAGTCAGGAGACGTGGGAGCCTGTAAACGAACACTTTGCAAAAACCTCCACTGACATGACCCTTCTCAGAGAAGGGCAGGCCAAGGTTCCGAGCTGACGTCCTGAATTTGAATCCGGGGTCCGGCGCCCAGCACCGGTGTGATTTGGAAACACTGACCTCCCTGGCCCTCGGTTTCTTCATCGTTAGGCCAACACAGGAGCAAGGCTTATCTCACGGGGAGGACTTGAGGATCAGGCCCAAGAATGACCGTGAAGCCTCAAGGGTCAGTGCCAGGCACAGAGCAGCCTCTCCGCAGAGGAGAGGCCCATGGGCACCACTGCCACCCCCTCCTCCCACCTGGCAAACATGAACAGCTTTATCACCGGTGGGTCAATTCCCTACTAGAAGAATTTAAAACCAGAAGACCAGAGTCCACCTGATTCTGAGACATTGCTTCCCACCCCCCAAACTTCCTGTGCACGTTAATACTGTGGGATATTAACAAGAGCCAGGCCAAAAAAAACCAAAAAAGTTTTCTAATCACATACACTTGAAAAGTACTAGGTTAAACCAAGCTCCATTGCTGCAGGACTTCTCAGAGCCTTTACTAGGCTCCACCACTGCGGGAACTCTCAGAGCCTTTATTAGGCTCCATTGCTGCAGGACTTCTCAGAGCCTTTACTAGGCTCCACCGCTGCGGGACTTCTCAGAGCCTTTATTAGGCTCCACCGCTGCGGGAACTCTCAGAGCCTTTATTAGGCTCCACCGCTGCGGGAACTCTCAGAGCCTTTATTAGGCTCCACCGCTGCGGGAACTCTCAGAGCCTTTACTAGGCTCCACCGCTGCGGGAACTCTCAGAGCCTTTATTAGGCTCCACCGCTGCGGGACTTCTCAGAGCCTTGACTGGGCTCCACCGCTGCGGGACTTCTCAGAGCCTTGACTGGGCTCCACCGCTGCGGGACTTCTCAGAGCCTCTGCGGGGACTTCTCAGAGCCTTTATTAGGCTCCACCGCTGCGGGAACTCTCAGAGCCTTTATTAGGCTCCACCGCTGCGGGAACTCTCAGAGCCTTGACTAAGCTCAGGTGCACAGGGTCATCACAGGGGCAAAAGAACACACCGTGCTCTCTACCCAAAATCTGCCCGGATGGTTCCTAGAGAAACTCGACCGTAGTAAAGGGTCTGCATAGACTCCGCCCCTAACTGAGCAGCACTGACCGTCCACTCATAGAGTGATGTGCTGCAGGAACTCTCAGAGCCTTTATTAGGCTCCACCGCTGCAGGAACTCTCAGAGCCTTTATTAGGCTCCATTGCTGCAGGAACTCTCAGAGCCTTTATTAGGCTCCACCGCTGCGGGACTTCTCAGAGCCTTTATTAGGCTCCACCGCTGCGGGAACTCTCAGAGCCTTTATTAGGCTCCACCGCTGCGGGAACTCTCAGAGCCTTTATTAGGCTCCACCGCTGCGGGAACTCTCAGAGCCTTTACTAAGCTCAGGTGCACAGGGTCATCCCAGGGGCAAAAGAACACACCGTGCTCTCTACCCAAAATCTGCCCGGATGGTTCCTAGAGAAACTGGGTCTGCATAGACTCCGCCCCTAACTGAGCAGCACTGACCGTCCACTCATAGAGTGATGTGCGTCTGCACCGCCGAGTGGGCTGTGGGCACCTCCTTCTGCTCAGAGTACCAGGCACGGACGGCCAAGTCCAGACGAGGTCCCTGGCGTGAATTCCTCACTGGCCTTCCCAGCCACGCTGTGCGAAGGGCCTGCTTTTGTGTGGTTGTTGAACGGCCTGAGCCTGTCTGGTGGGATGGATGCTTCGTGGCACCCACTTTGGAAAACCCTTTCTGATCCTCTCGAATCCTTCCTACAACACATATTTATCTGAATGGGTAATGAAGGCACGTGGTCTAAAAATCCACAAAGTGCAAAAGTAGCCAGTCTCCTCCCCCCTTCCCAGAAGCATGTGGTGATTACAGGGTTCAAAGAAGCTTGGTTATTATCTCCACCTTTCAGGTGGGGAAACTGAGGCTCCAACAAGTTCAGCAATTTCCCCAAGACCAGCACACCATTCCTGGGCCTCTACTCCACACGGAAGGCCCCAGAGTCTCACCCAACAGTTTACAGACGCAAAGCAGATGCTCACTAAACTACAGATGAATAAATCCTCAGTGGGTCGGAGGTCAGTGTGGACTCTTAGTGTCCTACAGGCAGGACCCCAGAGC